TAAAGATGGGAATCTTTAGGTTAGTTAAGGTTATATTAGGTAAAATACATAATAATAATAATAATTCTGTAACAAGGCACACATGTGGGCAGCTCGGAGTAGCTCGTGAGTAAGGTAATTCGATAGATTAATGTGAGCCCCACATTCCCCAAGTGAATTACAACTTATAATGGTGCAAGTAATAGTTAGATACAGTTCAAAGGACAATAAAATTTAAGTATAAATAGTTGTCTACTGTTTAGAGTTTAAAGCTATTTAGGAAAAACAATTTGAAAGTCATTCTAGAAAGAAAAAAAGGGTAATTTAGATTTATTTCAATTTTTTTTTTGGTGGTTACGAGGTCGATCAAATTGACCAACCTTGTATAGAGTTAGGGTACAGAAAATTACCTATAAAATATGAAGTTTTACTGAAAACAAATGTTTGAACTCTATTTCGGAGGTTTTAGAGATTGCGCAAATGAAATTTGAGATTTTTGGGACAAGGAATAGTATTTTTAATCATAATATGAAAACCAATTTGTATTTGGACTAGTAACCAAACATAATCGATATATTCACAAACAAATTTTTAGTAAAAATAATTCATTAAAAAATCTGGTTTTCTGTATACAAATAACTTGTAATGTTTCCCAAAAGTCTACCAAATTTTGTGAAGATACACATACTGTATTTAATGTTATAGTATATATATATTTAACAAGTGCAACTGTTATATTTTATACCAAGCCCATTGTCAAGGGTTAACTCAGTATTTTCTAAGCACTGTGGTAGATCAATTGGAATTGCAACAAATTTTACAATTCATTGCTGTTTGCATGTAGCTATTGCTTTGCCAATTTCTCCTATGAATACATTTGGTCCATGTGTGCAACCGTTGAGATGTTGGAAGAGGAAGTTTGTTCATGTGCAGCATATATGCCCATTGTAGAGGCCTTCCCAAATGTTTTTCTAGGAGTCTAAGCACACCACCTCTAAGCAAACAGCAATAAGAATGGCTGTATTAATAACACTTTCTTCTAGAATTGAGATCATTGAATAAAATATGTCCTTACTACTTCCAGACAGTGGAGTGATGTGGCCAAGGTACATCGACTGTGGTTCTTGAATAAGAGCAATATGCTCTTCTGTGTTAGTTTTGAGATAATACTTCATTCCCTGTTTCACCATTATTCTTGTCTTATTCTTTCAACCATTAAAGTACAGTCTCTTACACTGCAATGATTTGGCCCTATTTTGTGCCTCTGTCCTCTGCTTTTTGCTTTCTCATCTTAGCTTGTGTCTATCTATTATATGCAAGATGTCTTTATGAATGATGCCAAGATCTTGTATCACAGAAGTAGCGATAGCTGCTGCAGAACATCGTACCGTTCACAAGTCCTAGCCATCACAGGCATACTAGTTCTAATCTGATGTGATGTAGATGAAAGCTCAATTACTCTACCAGCAGATGAATTTGAAGTAATCTCTGTTTCAGAATTCTCAGGCATGACATTTGTTTCTGATTCAAATGATGAAGATTTCTGAAATGATTTTGTCATACTTGTTCTTTCTTCATCATCCAATATCCTCTTCTGACTTTTTATTTGATGTTCATAGTGCTTTTGCAGTTTTCTGATTAGTTCTACATCACTCCTCCCATGCCCATTTTTTTGTTGTGTTTGCTGATCATTCAAAAATTCTGTGTCATAAATAGGAACTCAATGAGCTACATCACATTTGCAAGTTGTTGAAATGCATTGGCAAGCAGTTATAACAAATAATTTCAATTTCAAAGGTAGGGTGCAGATAGTCCTCACGTAGCTTTGTGCGAAATTCTGAAACAAAACAAAATTCAAAGGTAGGTGCTCCAGATTCCTTAATTGATTTCATCAAAGCCTGATATTTGTCATGACACTTCAGCATTTTCCTTATCAAGCTATTATGAAAAGTGATTAGAATTGAAGCTCTTTTCCATAGGTATTCTACATCAGAAACAACTTTCTTAGCGATTTCAGCAACCTTTGACTCAGCATTTGATGGTAATGACTTCAATTTTAGTCTTACATGCTGATAGTGTAAAATAACATCTGCAATTGTTGGTAGAGTATTGATTTTCAATGGTTGTTCATAAAATCCTGATACCTGTGAAAACACTGACAGATGTTTATTTTTAGCTCACCTTGACAAACTTATGATGAATGCTGTAATAAAGGAAAAAGAAACGTAGCACTACAACAGGGTGACAATCCCTCTTCAAATCATATCTTACTCACAACTAAGCATTGACTCGCAAAGTGCAATGCACCCATGCAGTAGTTACTAGCTTAAGGAATGTTGCCAACTATTACATTTTTATAGATAGCTACCCATGGAAAAATGGATTTCATGTCAGGACATTACTTCCTTAGCACGAAGAATGCAAACAACTAATGAAATTTTACTAGTAACTATGCAAGGCTGGTTGAACACCAGAACATTAATTTCTAGGCCTAAGTATCTGAAACTTCAGGTGTCTTGCAGAACTAGTTAACGAATATAAAATGGAATAATATTTTACACTTATGTACATATATTCATGCAATTAATTATGAAAAATAACTATAATGAGTATACAAGTTGTCCTAATGTTAAAAAACAAAATGTACATCACTAGGCATTGCTTATAGCACATGACTGCAAGATGCATCATATTACAGTTTTGGCAAGGGTCATTGATGTGCAATATCTTCAAGAGATAATATCACCTGTTGGGTAGTCCTTACTTTTGAAGTTTTGGGTTACAACATTCACACATCCACATTTTCTTCCAATTTATAAATAAGGAATTCAAATCAAATTTGATCCTTAAGGAATAATAAGTATGGGGTGCTCAAGGTAGTTGAAATTATACTTTGTAGCTCAGATTATATCTGCATATTCTCAAATTTTCCAGAATACTCTAAATAATTCTAGAAGGCTCTAACGTATTATTATGGAATATTCTAGCACATTCTAGGATAATCCAGAGTATTCCAAATTATTCTGAATGTTCAAGAACATTTTATATATAAATAATACATGCTGTTACATTTTACTTCTAAATTATTCTATGTGACCTGACAGTAGTTTCTAGAATCTCTACAAGACAACTTCAGGTTAGCCAACCTAAAGATGATTACTAAGAGATTCTTGAACTAGCCATAAATTTTCATAGAATTTCATTCTGGTCAAGATGTGGGAACCATGCAAATCTAGTCCTTGATAGATAGACTTTTTAAACTGCCTGTTGCTTCTTCCAACCTGGATGTTGAAAAACATGTATTGTAAACCATTTGTTATACCTCACAACCTTGATTTTGATAACTTATATTGTAAACCACTTGTTGCTTCTCCCAAGTTGGCTCTTGATAACATATATGATAAACCATTTTTAACATATATTGAAAAAATACATTTTCATGAAAGGAAAATGTTAACTTCCTCACCTTCAAAAGTGTAGGTATAGATTCCAAGGTCGTCATCTTTATATCTAAATTTGTTAATGAGGTTTGACTGTTTTTTTATAATTCCAGTTTGCCACCATTATAACAGAAGTGGTTTATCTTCAGTGTGACCTTCAATTTTTTGCTACATTTATGAAAAGGGAATCAGTTAGTTCTTGGAAGGGCTGGATTGAGGGGGTGGCAGATGGATGCAACTGCTCTGGGCCTCCTTGAAGGGATTCCCCCACTGAGAGAAAATTAAAAGAATTAATCAAAAATTAGATGTCTCAATGAAAAACATGTTTTTTAACTGTGTCATTATGACAACTGCAATTTAGTTGTTTTCATTAACATGTTCTTACAGCTTGTTCCTTCATAAATATTTGCTCAGTCATTTAAAAATAATTTTTACTTTATATTTATCATAAATAATAGAATTAGTATTTTGTATATGATCTATCATCACTTTTTTTGGGTGTTGCTCATACTGTGGTTAATAAGTAGTATTGAAATGTACTTGATTTAATTATAAAGTTCAATTTTGAGAGCCCTCCTCCTAGAAACTTTGTCCCAGACCTCCCAAGTCCTTAATCTGGCCCTGGTCCTTGGTAGACATTCAGTCTTTGTACTAAATTTGATCAAAATCAGATGAAAAGTTGTCAAGTTACAGTGTATACATGCATTCACAAGAATGAAAACAAATTTATTAACAGATAGTGTTTTCAACCATGTGAATGGTTCATTACATTGATGTGAAATTTTATAAGGTTTTAAGGTGTAATAAAACAGTAGGAATACAGTATCAAAAAGAAACTTTTTTTTTCAGCAATTCTGTTCATCAGTTGTTTCATGATACATTTAAGAACTATCAAGGTGAGTTGCTTGAATTTCCTTATTTCTTTCCTGTATCTGTAGGTTAATCTGCCATAAGTGTAACAGCCCTTACCTACCAGGGCCATTTTGTTTTATAGTGAGGGCAAATCACATTTGTGAATTGAAAAAATTATAGAGAACTTATCGTTTATTGGATTTCAGATTTTATTTTTCTAAGTAGTAGCATAACATTCAATTATTTGTACTAAATTGTATTATTTAATAAAGTTTGAAGATAAATTTAATTAAAAAAATCCCAAAATACATTTGAGACTATATATAAGCACCATCTAAGAAAAAAAACATTTATTTTCAACATTTTAAAAAATTTTTCCTTGCACTTTAGTGCTGGTCCTGCCTTCAATGATTGGTATTTAAACTTTTTTCTGATCTGTTTTCTTTATAAAACAACATCTGGGCATGGTAAACTTCAGTTGTAAAACTTTTAGCCAATCCTAGTTGAAGGTGTCAGTTTCAGTACCATGGTATTCCAATTACTGTATTTCACTTTTGACAACTCATAGGATGATAAGCAAAACCCGTGAAAAAACGTTGTTCTCTGGATTTTAGAATATGAATGTGGATGGTGCTTATTACAGTAACTGCCATTTTATGTAGAGGTTGTATTTAGTAGTGGTCAATAGTACATTTGAATTAGAAAATTTGCTTCTGAAACAAACTGCATGGGATATATGTGACTTTTATGTTAGGGTTAAGATCTATCAAGTGGCGAGCGCATTCAGTATTTAGAATAATTACCTTGTGTGATTTGTACGTACTACTAGTACCATGTAAGAATTTTATATTTTTCCTTCTTCCTATCTTTACTTTGTAGTAAGACCCACACTTCTGTTGTTGTTGCTTAAAATTAAAATAGTCTAACTGATATATAAAAAGCTTGTTCTGATATTTTGCAAAGGGTTTAGAAGTCAGTGTACAAGTGACAACAATAAAACCCGTACGTTCGTAGTGAAATAGACTAAACACATTAGTCTCAATAATACAGGGGAAGCTGTGTCATTCTCACAGTTGAGATGTCAATACACTGAAGAGCTTAACTTTTGGTTTCCAATATAAATCTTGCCTATAATGAGAGGAATGTGACCAGGACTAATCATTTAAGTGCTGTAAAGTGATTTTCATTGTAATTTATGGTGTCTGTATCATTTGGTAATTTCTTTTAACAGGATGTATCATGTAACTAGGGTCAGATAGTGTTATTCAAACCACCTGTACTGTAAGCTATTACATACATTCACTAGTAGTGGAAATTAAAGTTTTGTCTGTGTAGTTAAACAACATACAAGGATGTGTTGAAATAAATTTGTTTGAAAGTTGAAAGAAATAACATACAAGTACCAAAAAGCTTTCTTACTATCATATCTACAGTTACATTCAAATGCGCCTGCGCTGGACTGAACAACAGTGACTCCCAACAGGTGTGATAGTTTATGGCAAATGTACGAAATTCATGCTGCTAACCTCACATAAACTTGAAATAAAAATACATTTATGAAACAAAATTAAATGTTTTGTTATGTACATATATAAATGTGAAATCTTAGTTAAAAATAAGAAATACTTGTTTATTGTTTAGGTTTTCTTAGAAATATTACTTTCAGTCTTGTATATTATTTGAAACCGTAGGGAGAGTATGTAATTATTAAAAAATTAAAAATAGACTAAAGTTGCATTTTGTGGATGATAAAAAGTTTTTAGAGATTTTAGAATAATATACTAAAACATAAAAAGTAATAAGTTCAAATCTGGAACAAATATAAATATTGTGATCATATCTTATAAATACCATTTCCTAATGTAATTTTCCAAGATAGTAAAGATCATAATGCAAAAAAAACTATATTTGTCAAAAGTGATGGGCTTTATGTTTCTTAAACTACTTGCATTTATGAACTTTCAAACAATTTCATCAACTGGTTTTATTATTGGAATGAAACATAGCAAGACTTGTGTTGGCTACACAGAAAGTTAGTAGCTGGTAGAGATCTGGTTAAAGGATTTTTTGTGATCTATGATAAAAATCTGCTAATGTAACCATCTTGCCCTTGACCATCCTAAGGATCTGTGACTACAAGTGTTAAAAGCCCTGACCATTTTGCCATAATTCAGTCGAAATGTGGTGACTTGCAACTGCAGATGGCACCTAAAATTTACATTTTGTGGATGAGCTTATAGTACTTTCCAATGTGAAATTCTCCTATTTTGCAATTATGAAAGCTGTAAGGCATGTAAAGGAAGAACAGGCTACTCCACAATGAGCTATCAGTTGTATGTTGGAGGTAGTGAAGGAAGTTAATCAACTTGTCTCTGAAAGTAATTGAAAAACGTAGAGGTTGTTTCAGCTAAAGTAAAATCCACCCTTGGAATTATAAACAAAATAATTTGCATGGATTTAGGTCTACAAAAGTGAAACGAGGACTTTGTTCACAAACTTTTCCCAAAGTATGTAAATTAATGTAAAACCAAACAGTATTTGTTTTGTGACAAAACAAAATGTCACATTGGATGAAGAATATCTCTACTTAACTGTCTGCAAAATCTTGGCAAGTTAGTATGATCCTGTTAGTAATACATTACCAAAATGGTAAAGAGGAAGCTTTTGTAAGGGATTTATGGTGACTACAGATTACAGCTATGATGGTAATGGAATGTCAAGAAAATTTCCTTGGTGAACTCTGCATATTACCAGAATAAAGTGCTGAAACTCCAATACCGTGAGGAAATTCCATCTTTGGTAGGACTGGATGTCAGTGAGGTATGGCCCTGTAAAGACAAAGCATCAAGCTTCATCTCCATGACAAACTACCAATTCCTGTGCAAAATACTATAATATTCACAAACATCTACCATGAACTTCTGTGTCTTTGGGTTGCTCAAATGAGCCCTCAAAAGCTCCTTGCATGGTTGATGGGCTTTGTAAAGAATGTATTGTGCAAAAGCTACCTAAGTGGAAATTGCGGAGCAATAGTCAATTACCCAGTAACATTACATAGAACACCATCAATGGTGTAAGGTAGAGCTGTAAGGCTTAGGGGTACTCATCCACAGATCATTAACACCCTCCTCATATAATAGAATGTTTGACATGAAAGTAGTATAGAAGCATTCTTTCTGTTGTAATTATTTTACTTCATGTTTACAAATTAGTTGCAAATAAACTGTCTGTTGTCGTTTCACACTTATTTCTAGTTTGTAGTCTTTAAAATGAATAAATAAATATATTTGAAATTCTTATGTCAGTCTTAGGTTGGAAACTGCATTTCATTATTTTTTTTACAAAACTACAATTATTCTAAAACAACTAGACATTCTGAAGTTACTTTTCAGTTTTTAGATATTTCCAGCAGAATAACTTATAAAATTATGTCAAGAAAATAGGAAACATCTTGTTCATAGAATGTTTAATGGAACCTTAAATTAAGTACATTTTAATTTTTGAGTGAGTGAAAAAACAGAGAAAGTAAAGAAAAAAATATTTTTCTTGCTTTTATTTGAACTCTAAAGCATCTATCAAGCAACTTTATTAATTAAGACCTTAAAGTGATGTACTTGGAGGTTTGAAGTAACCATTGTACATGTAGTACACTAAAAAGTATATTTCTTTATAGGTTATCTCAATTGATGAATTTAAAATATGCAATATTCATTACAAGGCATTAAAATTATGTTTTGTTTTTATTAATAAATTAAGAAGAAAAGCTTATATAATATTAGACAACTGATTCCGTTTTCACTAATTTGTGGTTTCCTTGATTATCCAGTTCTTCTTTTCTACTTGGTTCCTGCATTCCTCTACTGCCTGTACAATAATCTGGCTTTTATTAATTTGGCCATATTTGACCCAACAACCTATTATTTGCTACTACAGTTTAGAGTTGTAGTTACAGCAGTTATATTTCAGGTATGTTGCTGCACTAAATATTGTAATTTTATGACTTTTATAAAAACAAATTATCATACTATTGCATAACTAGTGTTCATATATTTCAAAGGATTTGACTATGGATTCTTAGTGAAAAATTTTTTTTATGGGAACCACATGTACTTGTATTAGTATATGACCCATGTGTTCCAAGAAAGTTGTTGAACCTAAGTTAAATGGACAGTAACTGCATGTTGTAGAAACTTCTATCATTAGACATTTCCATATGAGGTTCAATTCTTCTACAAATAGAAATAGGTCCCATAACAATTAAATTCCCTGATAGCTCGTTTAGGCAGAGTATTCATGATGAAACTTAGTTGAATGGATGGCAATTGCCTGTTGAAGAGGATGACGTTTCAAAAATCTTCCACCTTTCATCTTTAAGTCGTCCTCTACTCATGTATTTGATTGAGTTCAAAGGTTAAACAGCAAACTTACCATTGGAACTACATGTTGTTGTAGCTGTATATCACCAGAGAGTTCAAAGATGAAATGGGGAACTTGTTTGGGAGATATACCTATTTATAGTTGTAGTTGATCAATGAGCTAGAAGTTAGAATTAAATTTATTAATGATGCTCTACTGAGTAATACATTACCTCTTCTCACATGTATAGCAGCTATTCTTGTTCAGTGCTGCCCTCTATATGCAAAAAATCTTTGCATGCCACAAGCTTTGAACTCCCACATACCTAACAATCAATGTGGTTCAATTGCATCTTGCATGTAAATCATCATATGACCACCCTTCTGGTGCATGTGACTACCTTTACTCAATTCTAGCAAACTATCACTTCTTCTTAGACATTGATTGAGTGCAGACGTTTTTCAATTGTGTTCTTTTCACATGTTAATTTAATTTTTTTTTGCAACATAGTGATTTACTGGATTTATAATTTGCTACAGTTAGTTTTCTGTAGTTGTTTGCTGCGATAACTTACCTTTTTTTATTGATTTTGTTTCTTCTCATTTTTGACTTCTTCACAGTTTAAGATGAATTCCGAAGTTTGTGTTTTACAACTTCTAATATTCTTACCACTACTTTGAGTGGCATTACACAAGGGTCTCAACTGAGGATGTTTCGGCTATCTTTCATCAGGAGATTGATTGTTATATGAGTTGTCCTTTTTCTCCCGAAATGTTCGGGTTCTTAATACAGCTTCCGAACCTGTTCATGACAAGGGGGATTTTGATAGCTTTTTTCCTCCTAACTACGCTGTGCCTTCCCATGCCTCTCCTGTGGAATTTACTAGGCCTAACTCTGCCTTTTTTAGATATGCTCTCTCAGGCATGTTCTATTTTGTCATTTTCACCATTTTTATATAATACTGTTCCCTCCTTGCTACATGACACTTATCATTAGTGTACTTTGTTTTCCCTCCTTGCCCTGACATCAGGGTTCATGCTGAGACTTCATGCCTTGTCCTCCATGGGCTTCTGATCATTATGCTTTGGCTTATCAGCAGGCTGATCAACCCTTTCTCGACTTCCACTTGTTGAAGTCACTATTTGGGGGGCTGTCTCTGAAAATTCTATCCATTTCTCCCATGCTCAGTTTCCTGATTTTATCTTCTTACCTTTACAGCTCTCCTACAGTACTTGTCTAACAGACACATCCTTTAAGAGTCACTCTATCAATCCACTAGGGGTTTCTGGGGGATACCCTTTCCATCCTCACCTCCACATTGGTGTGATTGTCCTCTTTGACCCTATCCCTTCACACGTGGTTTCGTTATCATTGAAAAGGCTGCTGTTTTGTCACAGATTCATCTATCTTCTACTTATCTTCGTGACTTACGGATGGCTCCTTTTCTCCATCAGTCTGTTTTTGGAGATTTGCCTGAGTCTTTGGTTGCTCGATTGTCTCATTCTGATCCCTTTGTCTCTCCCATAACTGTTTCTTGTCCTGCAACCTCCCATCCTTTACCAGTTCCTACCATTAGGGATTCAAAATTTTGCTGCATGTCTCAATGTCATTGTTTCCAGCAGTTACAGTGACTAACAGGTGGTTTCCGGTTCAGTGGGGACATGTTTGGCTGATTTGTGTCCCCTGTGGTGGGTATTCACTACTGATTCATGGGTTGTCCAAGTTTGTCAGAAGGACTTTTCATCCATTTCCTTTCCCCACCACCATTGTCTCCTGTACCAATTTCCTTCCATTAACTCAGGATCCCATTATCAATCTTTGTCTATCCTACTATCACAGAGAGCTATCAAGCCTGTTAACCAGCCTTCTCCAGTTTTGTCACCCCTCAAAAAATCTGGGGACTAGCATTCTGTGATACATCTGTCCTGCCTCAACCAATTTCTGGATCTTTTCCAATTTCCCATGGAGCCCTTTATCACAAAGAGGTGGGTTTTTCTCCAGGACTGTGAATGACCATGGTAGATGTCTTGAATGCTTATCTCCATATTCCTATTTCTCATCAGTCCAATTGCTGTCTTCAGTTTTGTGACTGGCCTTTTGGGCTTACTTCAGCACCGTATGTATTTTATCAGGTGGTGAAGGCCTTTTCCCAACTCGTGCATGCTCGAGGGTTGCATTTACACCAATACATGGACAACTGGCTCTTGTTAGTTCATTCTAAACTAGAGTGTTCTCAACACAAACATCTGTTGCTGACAGAAGCATTTCATATTGGTTGGATTTTCAGTTTGGAGAAGTCTTTCCACTTACCTACCTAATATCTTCTCTACTTGGGTGTATTTTTCAACACCCACCTCATTCGGGCCCACTTTGTCTCCATTCATTGGTGCTTTCAGTTCTCCGTTAATTACTGCTCCCTCTGTTTCTGCATGTTTCTGTTCTGTCACTTTTGGAGACTTGGGCTTTTCTGGAAGACCTTATTCCTTTGGGTTGGGTACATATGCCTTCTCTTCAGCGGACTCTGCACGGCCAATGGAATTTTGCTCGGGATCCCTTAGACCCCCAACTTACCCTTCCTCCTTCCCTTACTGACAGTCTGCTTTGGTTCAACAAGGACAACAATGATGGGAGTATCACTTCCTCCACCTCCTCTGGATTTGCATCTGTTCACAAATGCTTCTCTCCAAGTGGGGAGTGTCGGTCCATCAGCAGGAGGCTTCCAGGTAGTGGTCGCAGATCGAAATGTCTTACCATATCAACACCAAGGAGCTTTTTTTTCATTTTCTTCCTCTGGTACAGAACCAACACATTCCATTATTGTGGTCTATATAAATCACTAAGGGGGCATCCATTCTTGTTCCTTTTGTGGTTGAACATTAGAACTCCTTTATTGGGCCCACACACTGTGGATAAGTCTCCTTGGTGTCATGTTCCAGGTGGTTTTCACCTTGTGGCAGATCATTTTTCGAAACCTGACTAAGTTTATCCCACTGAGTGCTCTTTTGACCTTCAGGTTTTGAGGTGTCTATGCAATCAGTGGATATGCCTTATCTGGATGCTTTTGCCACTTTACTCACACACCAAGTTAACTTTTTTGGTCTCCATTTCATCATCCTCAGGCCCTAGCAGTGAATGTTCTCAGTCAGGACTGGACCAACTGGTACATTTTGCATTCCTTCTGGATTTGTAGACCTCCTCGTCATGGGGTTCTTACAGATTGTAATGTCAGTATTGTTTGTTACTGCCTTCCACACCCTCCAATTAAACATTTGTCCTCATGTTCCATGTTTCACCTATCCATTCAGTTTTGTTCCTACTCCTTTTAGTCTCTGGGTTTCATTGGTCTGATATATTTGCTCCCGATATTTCACACACTTTTTTGAATTCCACATATGTTCTCCTTTATCCAGATCAATCTTTCCTACTCAAAACTTTGGTGGCTCGTAAAGGACATTCTTTCTTCTTGATTTCCTTTCTGTCCATTTCCCACCTTTATTCCTGGTCTGATCGAGACAGAATTCTATGTCTAGCACATGCTTTTCATTGTTACATTGCCTGCATAGTTTCCTTTAGTGGTTCCTTTTCCCACCGTTTCATTCCCTGGCACCTTTCTCCTTCTACCCTTACAAGTTGGGTTTGTCAACTGATCGATTGGTCTATTCCTCCCTCTCTCTTTCTTCCCAAATTCTCTTCCAGGTGTTGTTGCATCAGGTCAGTCACCTTACGTTTTTACTGGCATCTCACCTCTGGCATCCATTGGAGGAAATTCAGGCATGTGGACTACACCTCATATGTTCATCTCCTGCCTCCTTCATTGGGTAGCTGTTTCTTTCTCATTGGGGTACTACCTTCTGCCTGTTGCTATCTTTCAAACTGGGT